TCTTGGTTTCATCTGTGATTCCATTTGCAGTTATGAAAAACTGGAATCGTTCCATATACGTCTTCCATTTCAGCGGTTCACCGGTATTGAATGGTTCAATTGTACCCAGCAAAGCCATGATTGAGATTTTCTCGTCTTTCCTCCCTCTCGGTTCGATTCACAGGGTGAACTCGACTGCGCCAATAAATGTTATGTCCGGGATAACAAATAATGTTCAGACTAGCCTTTAACAACTTTATTGCCTGACAAACACAACGTATCTTATTCGATTTGTATGAACATGTTAGGTTAAGGCTAAGTTTTTCTTCTTCTGGTTCTTCTTCTTCTATTCTTGTTCCATAGGTAGGAGGTTACATACACAACAATGATACACGACTATTATGCGCAAAATTGCGTGTTGCTCCTATAAAAATAATATCGCTACCGCGTCTTGAGCTCTGTGCGGCATTGCTATTGGCAAAACTAGTAACAAAGGTACGCAGTTCTCTTAACAGTACATTTACGCGTTCTTATTATGTGACTCAACAATAACTTTATGTTGGATAAGAAAACCACCTAACAATTGGAAAACGTTCATTGCCAACAGAGTCAGTGAAATTCAGCAACTAACAAAAATCGATGACTGGCATCATGTAAATGCCGCAAATAATCCTGCAGATTTATTATCGCGCGGCGTAAGCTGTGAACAGCTATTGCAATACAAATTATGGTGGCAAGGTCCTTCATTTCTCGAACAAGACAGCTCAAGTTGGACATCAATGGATGAATCTCTATATGATTCAGTTGTAATACCAGAACAACGAATTATTAGCAATACTAAAACAATGGAATATTCTGATTTCGATTTATTTTCAAAATATTCATCTATTTTAAAGTTACAAAGAATTACGGCGTATTTTTATAGGTTTATATCTAATTTAAGAAATACAAAGGAAACGCGCATTACGGGTCCATTAACAATTTCAGAATTAAATAATGCATTACAGAATTTAATAAAATTATCGCAGGTTCAATCATTTACAGTCGATTATCATACATTAAAAAATAAAGGTATACTAAGAAAAGATATTTTATCTTTAAATCCTTTCATGGATGATAATCAATTGATCAGAATAGGTGGTAGGATATAGAATGCCAACGTTCCTTACAATTAAAAACATCCGATTTTGCTAAACAACAAACATATTTTGACTAAGTTATTGATGACTCGCGAGCACAACAAGGTGCTACACTGTGGTCCTCAACAACTATTATATAGTATTCGTGAAAACTATTGGCCAATTTCAGAGCGTAGTTTGGCTAGAAACATCGTGCGTAACGGTGTCATTTGTTTTAAGGCAAAACCTAATCCCAGTCAATATGTCATGGGAAATTTACCCGCAACTCGTGTAAATGAATTTTCTCCATTTGAAAATACAGGTACCTATTGACCATGCCGGTCCGCTAATGATGAAAGATCGTAAAACTAGGGGTGCTAAATTGTTAAAGGTATATATTTGCATTTTTATTTGCTTGGCGACGAAGGCAATACACATCGAGCTAGTAACAGATTTAACAACTAAAGCATTTCTAGCAACATTTCGAAGATTTATTGGGAGACGTGGCAAACCATCGCATATCTATTCAGATAACTCAAAAACCCTTGTAGGTGCAGATTCTACAATGACCAAGTTAATAAATTCAAACTGGGAGAAAATTGCAACAAAACTATCAACCGACGATATAACATGGCACTTTATACCTCCAAGGTCCCCCAATTTTGGAGGATTATGGGAAGCGGGGGTAAAAAGTATAAACAGTCATTTAAAGCGGGTACTTGGCAATGCCCATTTAACTTATGAGGAATTAATTACTGCTTTGAATCAAATAGAGGGTATATTAAATTCGAGACCCTTGTACCCTCAATCCTCTGAAATGATCCACATCCCTTAACTCCAGGACATTTCCTCATTGGAAGGCCTATCACATCAATTCCAGAAGGTAATTTAGTGAATATAAAAGAAAACTATTTGTCAAAATATTAACGGTTACAACTGATGCAACATTTCTGGAAAAGATGGCAGTCCGAGTATATATCAGAACTCCAGTCCAGACCAAAGTGGCGACAACACAACAACCATCAGATTTAATTCAAATCAATGATTTGGTGATTGTTAAAGAAAACAACCTTCCACCAGGACAATGGCGACTAGGGCGGATTCTTCAGCTACACCCAGGCAATGATGGTGTCGTAAGAGTGGTAACTATAAAGTGTAGTGATGGTGTCTTGAAAAGATCACTAAATAAAGTGTGCAAACTACCTAAATAAACAAAAGTGACGAATTCATGTTGCATGTAATGTTTAGTTATAGTCATTATCATTATATTTAAATTGAAATATCCTATTATTTCAAGGGGGGCGGTATGTTCCATCATAATTGACAGAGGTAGCGCCCTCTAGTACTAGCATTGTAAAAGGGCAGTTTCCATATATGTGGAATCAGTCTGCACAGAACACCCGAGTCTGTAACTTGTCTTGTAAGTGTGCAGATGTACAATTCAAAAATAAAACAATAAAAAGTAATACAGTCCACTTCAATTAACCAAAAAAACAAATACTAAACGGAATACATTATTTTTCATGCTAAATTATTTCAAATATTTGCAGGATTTTGAGTTACATATTAGATGATGACCTTGGATTTGACCGAACAGTAGATTAGATACTCTACAAAATGGCCTATCGTTAAATAATATTAATTATTATTCTAACAATGCATTAAGTTTTAAAATTCAAGATCACACTAATAGTTTTAGTTAAATTAAATTCTATTTTATATCCATTATTTTTCATGAAAAATTAGTTTGACCTTCAAATCAAGGGCAAAAAATCTGTAATCCTAATTCTGACAAAATTTGTCGCTGAATCAGTTGCTCACAAAAAAATAACGTATTCCATTTGATAATAAGTTGACCTTAGTTTGACCTTGCAACTTGCGGTGTTTAACCTCCAAGGACATACAGAAAACAATTTCTGATCTTATATTCAGAAGTAAAATTTGGTGCTTTATCGGTTGTTGGCGTAAAAATAGAGTGTACCTACCTGATTAGTGTTTTTATTTATTTTTTATTACATCAAAATATTCGGATTTTTTTTTAATATCCGGCGCATCGTTTGCTTTAAAAAGGCAACAGTCAACAGCCGAGCTCGGGAACTGTCCAGTAATGGCGTAGACAAGAGTTCAAATAAATTATGTACAGGGTGTTTGTAAATAAGTGCGAAATATTTTAGGGGGCAGTTGCCGAAGTTATTTTGTGAAAAAAAGTTCATATAAATGTAGGTCAAAATATATTTCATTTCTGAGATACAGTGTTTAAATTTTAATTATTTATTTATTTTTATTAATTATTTCAGTTTTAAAGATATTAACTCGAAATTTGAAAAATGCTTTGGAGGGATAAATGTGCATTTTTGGGGTAATCCGAATATTTCTACTTGCATCAGTGGCATTCGTACGAGAATGCCACAACATTTTTAATAAAAAAAAATGAAACGCCACTTACTTTTTACGTTTTGATATTTTTTTAGATATCCACCATCAATTCTGAATTAAATTGATCTGTTCAATTCGTAGGATGCACCGTTTTTGAGGAAAAAAAAAATATGTTTTATTGTAGATAAAGTGTTATTATGGTCAAAGTAAAAATGGAATTCAACATTGAAAATAAAAAGTTAATATGAATGTGGGTAAAAAATTCTTCGATTTCGAGGTACAGGATGTTCAAAACTCTGAAATAATTAATAAATATAAAAAAAATTAAAATTGAAACACTTTATCTCGGAAATTAAGCATATTTTGACCTACGTATATATGAACTTTTTTTTCACAAAATAACTTTGGCAACGACAACCTAAAATATTTCACACTTATTTGCAAACACTGTAGATACATGTACCGATGACACAGATATGAGAAATTGACGTCACTAAAAACTAGAAATTCCATGCTACTGGATATTTTGGAAATTTGATCACTACTTGTAAGTTCTATATAGTATTTCCAAGAAGAAAGATATTTTATCTGAAAACCGAATCATTTTCGATTTATTTTTTTCCACAAAATGTAAAATGGCTCTAGAACTATTTGTTCCTCACCCTCAAAAGAATTGCATAGGATTTTTTTGCTAGAAATAAAATTATAAATAAACACTAATCATGACAAGTTAAAAAAATTCAGTGGTGTAGGAATTTTGTACTTTGTTAGAGACAGCAAGACATAACGGTGCCAATTATTTCCTCGTTTATCATGATTACATTGTATTTAAAATTGAAAATGATTTGTATTTCGAATACACGTTCGATAGTTTTTTACATCGAACATACAGAAAGGTAGCCTTTTACATAGAAACACCTTATACACAGAACTAAGAAACAGCAGAATTTTCAAAATATCCTGTAGGATTTTAAAAAAATAATGCCTGGTATCTTCACCACTGGTACATGTATTAATATGAGTATTTGAAGTCTGTGGATTTTTACTTTATATTAGGTACATCAATAATCTCCAAAATTATCAATTTGCAACCTTTTTGGTTTAAAACCACTTAAAAAATGTCCCCTTAAAATTTGTACAAACACTTAATTAACACCCTGTATAGTAACTATCATCTCATTCTAGTTGAATGTCCTAGACATCACGAATTTTACAAAAGTTGCATCAAGCTATATTTTGTTCCTTATTTGAAAAACTTTAAAAGTTTAAAATAATTCTACACTAAATTTTACTTTTTACCATATTTGAGAAAGAAAAATTTTTGAAATATTTGATGATTGTTTTTTAATGTGTCGAATTACTTAAAGATCACTTATAACCGAAGTCAGCGGACTTCAGTTATTTTTGGTAAGTGACTGCTATCAACAGCTAAATACAAATTGTACAATTTTGACCACAGGAATCTATGGTTGTACCATGTACACAGAATATTCGGGCACCTTGTATAAGAGAACGGGAATCACCTACCTGTAACTTGAAGTACGAATGGATTCGCTTCTCTTTTATGATATCTGTTGCAGAATGGTCTGTCCAAGACCTTGATCCGTACAACAAAGTTATTGCAATAGTAGGGCTTAATTTGTCTATCCTCCTTACTATAGGATTCTTAGCCCACGCGAAATCCACCATCATTGAATGAAAAGCGCTCTCACCACTAGAAAAGTGTTAAACAGGTAAATAAAAAAACTTTCACTTCCTAAACATATGACTTGGATACCTGGGATGCTGGCAGTTGCACTGATATATGTATTCTGGTATTAAATTGGGATCTCTTAAAGCGACTAAGTACTTCTTTGAAATGTCTGGTCTTACAGCATTAATAAACCATGGACCTGAAAATAAAATTGTCTGCTACTTTATTAAACATGGCCAAAAATGCTAGTACTAACCAAAAGGACCAGCTACTCTAATACCAGCCAAAGGATTAAAGGGCTGCATTATGTACGAAATAGTTTTAATCCACAAAGGCACTTCTTTAAGTTCGTTAGGTTTTTCAGGGAAACCCCATGGATCTGCTAAAATTAAGTGTTTCACTCGATTTGGATAAGATATTGAATAGGAGGCTGCCAAAAATCCACCCATACTATGTCCTAGTATAATCATGTCATTTAATTTCATCTCTTTACGCCATTCTTCTATAGATTTGACCATCTGTTTCTCTGCTTCGGAGCTGTCACTACTAAAATTTGGTCGAGATGATCTACCAAATCCTAGAATATTGTTTCATAAGTTTCACTCTAAAAATGTGCAAGACATGAAGAATAATATTTACAACTTATATCATCTTAGCAGGTTACATTGCCAGTAAAATATTACTTAATGTGCGGATTTAATGTGAACTACAAAAATGTTACCTAATAGATCAATAGCATACACAGGTCTTGTTGCTGCAAAAGCATCTAAATTTAAGCACCATAATGCAACTCCTGCTCCAAGACCATGAAAAAGCACTAACGGTGTCTTTGGGGATTCGGTGTTAAAAGATATAGTCCATATTTTATCAGCAGGACCTACAACAGGCCCTATGTCAACATACCAACCTCGATGTGGAGTTCGTAGTACTGAAAACAATATATTTTCAATTAGTAAACTCTTCAAATAGTTAGTTAATTAAATAAACTAATAACTAAATATTTTATGGTTTTTAAATAAATTAATATCGATATATTCAATTCATTATCAAACACTTACTTTGTAATATTTTCTTTTCTAAAGTTCTTAACATAGTTTCTGAATATTTATTCCACGTTAACCAGTTTGGGCTCAACCAACTAAAAAATAAAATATGAAGTTATCAAAACAGTACCAAATGTGAGGTTATAATTATATAAGTTTAATTTCAAAAAATGTATTTTTAATCCATACCTAAATATAAAAATAAGTAGTGAAGCATATGTTTTTGAAAATAACTTCAAAAAAGAATACAGTGGATTATAAACAATTTTATGAATAAATTCTATCGTCATTTTCTAACCAATAAGTCGTTTCTATACGCAAAAACTAATCACTAATCGATAAAATGTGGTAAAAAAAAGTTCTTTTACCTTGAATTAACGTGTTTAGATTCTAATATTTGAAATTCATCTTCTTGTAAATTACTACGGTCTTCTATCATGGTTGGTACGCAATTTTTTTTATCTTGTCCTCCTTAGCTTTCAATATTTCAATAATATAAAATATAGGTCGTCTAGTAGTAGTAACTAATTAGTAAGATAAGTTATTGGCGGTCGCGGACTATCTAATTATAAATAATTTAACTTGTAATCTTATTACTCAGCTCATCACGTTTTTTACAATTTTGTCATAATGAAATTCGGAATTTGGACCCAACAATTTAAATTCGTAATTTGTGGTAATTATAAACCTTGGCAAGGTAAATACAATTGTGTTCGACATAAAACTAATTAATTTAAGTAGGTACCAGGTGGGTTTAAATTTCTAATAATTGGATTATTTAGTTATTACTTCTTGACGACAAGGTGTAGGGGGGAAATATATATTCCAAGTTCCAAGATTTACAAGCCAAAATCTTTTTTTTTAATATGTAAGGCCGGGTGTCCCATGCATCCGAATTCCGACGATACGAAGGTCCGAAAATGTTCCTATTGGTTAATATATATTCAAATTTTTACCGCTCATTTTCATCCGAAATTTTTAAAATTCATACGACGTCGGAAAAAGTAGAAATAATTTTAACTTTTATCCGAAATCGTATGTTTTTTAACCTCACTTTTTAAGTTTTTAACATACTATGATTGTTGTCTGATATATCTACAGTCAAATAAATGTTATAATGTCAAATGTAGAAAATATAATACTACGTATATTTTCTATAATATATACCTATGGTTGTCATTTGAAAATGTTTCACCTTCATCTTGTAATAAATTCCATGGTTCTATACTTGATTTCTATGAGATTAATTTCGGATGCATGTGAATTATATTATCATTCGTATGAATTAAAATATTTTCGGATATCGTACTCCTAACCCGTCTAAGAACCCACTCCCAGGAACTGCAAGTCATTCCAGACGAGCAGTTCGCCTTCCGACCCAATCACTCCACTGAACTCCAAATCCTTCGCCTTACCGAGCACATCACGGCGGCCTTCAACAGAGGACAGTACACTGGTGCTGTCTTCCTGGACGTCGCAAAGGCCTTCGATACGGTTTGGCATGAAGGCCTACTGATGAAAATGCTCACCAACCAATATCCCATATCCTTTACCAAACTCATAAAATCCTACCTACACCACCGAAAATTCCGCATCCAAATCCAAGATTCCCTTTCCACCACCCGTCCCATGGAGGCCGGTGTCCCCCAGGGCACCGTCCTGTCCCCACACCTATACACCATTTACAACTCCGACATCCCACATCCCCCCAACACCAACATATACTTATACGCCGACGACCTGACAATCACATCCCAATCCGTAGATCCTAGATATTCCGTCTCCCTCCTCCAAAACTCCTTAGACCAACTTGAAACCTGGTGCAACAGGTGGAAAGTCAAAATTAATCCCAACAAAAGTTCGGCTATCCTTTTTACCAAACGAAAAATCCCACAAAACCTCGACAGACTGACACTATCCCAGGAACCCATCTCCTGGAATCGACAAACACGATACCTGGGCGTGACGATGGACCAGCGTCTCACGTGGAAACCGCACATCGTGGAGACGGTGGCGCGAGCGAAGACCACCAGGGCTAGGCTCTATCCCTTACTCAAAGGTGGAAACACCCTCAGTTTAAGGAATAAGCGAACGCTTATCAAGGTGGTACTTCAACCGCAGCTAACCTACGCCTCCACGGCGTGGGGTCACGCGGCAAAAAGCCACTTAAAGTCATTACAGGCTGTGGAAAACATAGCCCTCCGCACGGCCACCGACGCGCCCTGGTACGTAAGAAACACTGACATATTACGAGACTTACAATACACAAACGCTACACAGACAATAAGACAAAACGCGGAGAAACGATTTGACGTAGCCGCTAGACATGACAATCCCCTCCTCAGGCAAGCCGTTGACTACGTACCCGACGTGACCGACAAACACAAAAGACCTAGACACCAACTTTTTGACCCTGGGTGACCACCCCAATGACCCCCCCCCTGCCCGCTAACCTTTTCTGTTTCAGAGACAGCCAGGATCAAGAAACGAAGACAAAGACACACACACACACATACACACCCCCCATACCCTCCTTACCACTCCCTTCCCGCGCTAGCCTAAGGGCCACCTTAGCAAAGCGCATCCCAGGCTGCATAGCTGCACTGCCCTACCCAACCATACCACACATAAATATGACACAACCCCCGGGGTTTACACAGACGAGCTGGCGAAGCAAGAACGCCAGAAGAAAGGGCCCTAGCCGGCGGGGCCCAGCCAGGACTAAAGGAAGTCCCACAAAGCGCCTACACCGGTCGCATTTGCGGTCGGGGTAGACGACGGATGGGGCCCACCTATGAAGGCTGTTCAGGCCTACACGAGATGAGGCAGGATAAAGAGGGATAATCCCCCTCGATCCCAAATCATTGAGGCCAATTTCTAGCCATGGCGCGTGTTACTTTAAATGAATAAAAATCAAAACATAAACATAACCTATAAAGTCAGAAACCCACGCAAAAATTGTCATTCCATTGAGATTGCACCAGAGCATATTTCTCATACAACCAGTGGAATGTCAGTGCTGCTCGAGTGCAGCCCAAGTTTGCCCATTGGAAATCGCTATGAAATTACTTGTTTTGTGATGTCACTTGTCACTTGTCAGTTACAATCCGTCAAATGTAAATAACATGGCTCCCAGAAAGGGTTCGAAAAGTGTGAAAACATCAAAAGTATTAAATTATAATGCCTTAATTTTAAAAGACGTACTGTGCCCGATTTGTAGAAGTATTTTAATTGAACCAGTGACTCTTCCCTGCAATCATGGATTTTGTTCTTCTTGTTTTGATAACACCATGCAAAATGCAAACTTAGTTTGTCCACTGTGCAGGATTAGAATAGGATCTTGGCTTAGAAAGGCGAAAAAAGAAGTCAAATTGATAAATTATGAATTGTGGGATGCCATAAAAGACAAATTTCCTCAGCAAGTCAAAAATAAAATGAATGGAATAGACGAAAATTTAGAGGAAGGTAAGTTTGTTTGTGTGGTAATAAACCATGCAATAAGTAAACAAACTTTTTTTAGAAACGGACGTAATAGTTGCTTATCCTGGAGAAATTCGTAAAGAATATGAAATGCAAAAACAGAGAGAAGATGAGGAATTTAGGAAGAAATGTGAAGCTGATTTGAAAGCTAGTGAAGACCTTATAAAGAAGATTTGTGAAGAAGAACATTATGAGCGTGCTGTGATGGAAGAAAAACTCAAGCTCGACGAACAAGTTGCAAAAAAGTTAGCTGAAGAATTAGCTTCGACTAATCCTTCTACTTCAAAAACAAAACAAACCAAGAGATTTGGCCCCATGGATAAGTTTGTGAAACAAGAAAATGACATGACATTGCAGAACGTTCAGAAGAAACAGTTAAATAATTTTGCTACCAAGGAATACACATGCAGAGTTTTGCGTTTAGATAATAATACCGGAAATGATCCTTATAAAAAAATATTTTCTCCTATAATTCCGAAAAAGGTTCAGCAGATACAAAAGATTGTAGATACAGATATAACCAGCGACAGCAGTGATTGCATAGAATCAGAGTTACGATATTTTAAACCAATCGATTATAGAGGGAATCCTCCTTCTGAAAGAAAACCTGCCATTAAAGTTCCAACAAAAAAACCTCTTCAAAATACATCGGCTAGAATATTGTAAGTTTAATTTTTAATTAAATTTATACAACATCAGTAAAATTTGAAAGTTTTATAGCTGCACAATTTTTAAATGAATGTTTTAAGAATGCAAAGCCTGCAAATTTTATCTATGTAGGCATGCATACTTCAGATATTTTTTATCTTTAACCTAAACATTGCCTGATGATAAAATTGCTGAATTAACAAAGTTATTTAATCCATATTTTGCTTTATGGTTTTTCAATGAGGTGGTGGCAGTTGCGGTCTATGGGCAGGGTGCGCCACATGGTGACATTTAACAAGCAAACACTTACCTTTTGTAAGCTAGGCTAGGGCCTACTACTAATAAAACTGCACTCTCAGTAACATACATTGGTAATATAAAAATAGACAAACTTACCCTATTTCATTTCCTTAAACTTTAAAGACTGGTTCATTTTAGAATTAAATTTACAATTTTTATATAAAAATAAAGTTCAAATAATTTCATCTTTTTACAATTTCGTTGATTTATGACAGATCTCAGAACTGACAGTTGATTATATATGTTGTATCAATACCTGAACATGAAAATAAAGAACAAAATTTAAAAACGTAACTTGTCGTTTGTAGCATTAGATATAAAGGACAAGAAGATCTGTATAATTATTAACATTGCCCACAGAAGTTACACTGTCTGTGGACATGTGGCAGCAGCATAGACACCATCAGATCCGAGAAAGATGCTTCAAATAGAGTCAATTCATTGCTTGACCTGTTATAATAGTACTCCAGTCGAATTAGATTATAAAACCTGAAAACTTGAAAAAATTATTAATAGACATTTTATTGCATTTTATGACGAGGAAGGGTATGTAGAATGATAATATCAAAAAAGTAACTCGAAAGAACCGACGTTAAGTTGGCATATTGCAAATAAGTGGAAAATATGTTTGTTCACTTTTTTTACTGCCCACGAAAATCTAAACGACCTATCAGAATATAAATTATTTTATGTTGTAGGCAATTAAATTACCTACGATTTAAGGTACCTAGAGTCATTTTCAGTAATCTTTTAACTGTAAAATAAAGGTCGAACTCTGAAATATCAGTTTTCGAAAATTGCAGATTATTATTACAAAAAGAGATGGAGGTTGATGTTTATGGAAAAGACGGTCAATCCAATGACCAATATGTATGCCAAACACTAATTCAATTTACCGTGAAATTGTTGCTCCAGCTATTTGTTAATTAATTTCGTCGTTTTTTTTGCATCTAATTGTTTAATTACTAAACGTTAATTTTAGAAGTTAATATTGTAGATATAGGTTCTAATTGATCCAAAGAAATGTATCGAAAAAGAAAAATTTCAAAAAGTTGAAATTAGTTGCCTTTTACAACTAACAAAGTAGGATGTGCAAAACAACCTTATAAACAAAGTGTCCTACGCCTCTTTCTTCCCAATATAACTTTTTTTTTTTTGTAATGTTAATTATTAATTAACTATTGGATGTATTGGTTGTTCATTAACGTTAACTTTTACTACTGCTAGCATGTTTATTACATGAACTATCAATGTAAAACTTTCTGAAAATAAAAGTTTCAAGAAAGCTTTAATTGCCTCAAAAATCCCGGTCCAATATATCCAATAATTAACAATTAACATTATAAAAAAACGATATCTTGGGAACAAAGAGGCGTAGGTGATTTCTCCCTTTTTTAAAATTACCGTAAAAATAAGTTCTAATTAATGCAAAAAGAGCGAATTTCCGAGCGGATTTTTCCCTAGAACAATTTGTTTATAACCCTGTTTTGGTACGTCCTAATCTGTTAATTTCAACTTTTTGAATACGCCACTGGTTTTTTAAATAATTTTAAATGTTTTTAAAATGTACAATCAATTTGTGGCAATAATGTATTCTTGTAAAGTATTCTCAAAATTTACTGGTCTTTAGATAATTGGGAAATCAAATTTTAAGATACTTAAGTACCCACATTGCTATTTACCATTTTCTAATGATTGCTAAATGTGTAACAATAAATTCAATACCTAATATTTTTGAGAGATTACAAAACACTATACATCACAAGAAATGTTCAAAATGCTGTCCTTGGGATGCAATGCATTCTGCGCAGCATCTCCCCGTTGATCGTTTTACACGCCTTATAAGTCCAGCCGTATTGTGTATGGTTGCGAAACCCTCTACAATGCGCTGTCGAAGTACTTCTACATTCAGGTCGGGGGAACGAGCCGGCCAAGCAACTGTCTAATGGTCAGGTTGTAATGAGGTGGTGCCCTATCATGCATATACCACAATAATTGATGTAACCTCAATGGCACTTCTTCTAGAAGTGGTGGTAATTCTTCTTGTAGGAACCTTTGATAAGTTCTACCATCGAGGGTTCTGGGTGAAAAGTAGGGACCAATCAAGTAATCGCCCACAATGCCTGCCCAAACATTAAGAGAAAACTGTTCTTGGAATCGACAGGGGAAATAATATGCGGCTTTTCATCTGCCCATTGGTGGTTATTATGATTATGACAATTCGAAATGGTTTCCCTGGTAAATTTCGTTTCGTCGGTAAATAATATTAATAACTGAAAATCAGGCTGTTCACATTGTTATAAAAACCACTGACAAAATTCAATCCTCGGTTGATAGTCATTTCCATTTAATGCATGAACTCGCTGGACACGATATGGGCGTAATTGCTGCTCACGTAAGACGTTCCAGATTGTTGCATACGATACATCCAAATCTGTTGATATCTGTCTGGTACGGGTAGATAGGTCTTCATCTACAGACTCCCAAAATTGTGTGTTCCAAATGAACTGTACAAACAGGTCTTTGCTTGACATTTTAGTAGCGACAAACATGCAGTTTCATGAGCTCGACGGTGAACGCTTGAAAAAGTATTCCTTGTTGGACAATGTCAATTTGGAAAAGCCTGTATATAAAGTCGTTCAGCTTATCTAGCATTGCCTTTCGCTCTACCGTATGTAAAATGTATATTTGCTAATTAAATATATGTATAAATTGAACACCATATTTTTTTAAATTAAAATCCGTTTTTAGTTGTGTGAAAAATAACAAATTTTTTGCAACACACAAAACAGTGGCGTTATATAGTGTTTTGAAATTTCTCAAAAATATTAGGTATTGAATTTATTGTTACACATTTAGCAATCAATAGAAAATGATAAATAGCAACGTAGGTACTTAAGAAGATTCTTATCTGATTTCCCAATTATCTAAAGACCAGTAAATTTTACGAATACTTTAGTGCCACAAATTGAATGTATATTTTAAAAACATTTAAAATTATTTAAAAAACCAGTGGCATACAATTTTTTTTCAAAAAGGTCCCCTACTCCCCCGATAACTATGCCACTGGAGTGTATTTTGAAATAAATTATCCATGAAAAAAATAGTCCCTACTAAAAAAATGTCATCCCCCAAATTTGATTGCCAGTGGTTACAGGAAAAATCATATAAATATTTGAAATTTTTAACACCCTGTATCTCCGTAGGGTAGCATCCTATCAAAAATTTTTATAATTAACACCCTGTACTTACTAGTTACAAAAATTAATTTTCATAAAATTTTTATATAAGTATTTTAGTGAATGAAATGCTTTATCTAAAACTTTATGAAAACCCTTTATGTGCGACGGTCTAGACATAATTTTTAAATTAAATAACTTAAAATTTAGAACTTTTCTTGTTATTTATAAAACTTTATATTAAAATATTATTTGAAAAAATATTTCTTATGAGAAAATTGTGTGCTTTTAAATAAAAAATACTGTTGCATTTGAGTTACATAAATGGGATACTGTATTATATTTTTTTTAGATCACCAACTGGCCTGATAAACTTCCACTCAAACTTCCTGGAATCTGCGTTTGCCAGGATAGCTTTCCCAAAATCAACAGGAGGACGCAAGAGTAATACGTCCCCAGCCAGTGATAATAGTACAATAGTTTCAAGTAAATTGAAAAGGACACATTCGAAAGATGAAATTAATAGTCCCAAACGGAAAATCAAAAGAAAAGATTCGGTTGAAGAAATTGAAGAAGAATCTCCCACATTAATTAGTTTTAGTAAAACCAGTAGGAAAAAAAGGCAGATATTTGGGAAATCGAACAACACTGTCAAGGACAGTTCTTCAAGTCCGCCGTTTTTAGGATTTGAAAAAATATCGGATTCTAAAGATAGTAACTCGAATATTACTAATAACAAAAATAGTATTATTGAAATAATGGAGGAAGAAAAATCAAAAAAGCTTTTACAAGAAATGGCAGATTTAGAATTCGCAAAAAAACTACAGGACGAACTTAATAGAACTGCCCACTACACAAGAAGTTCTCGAAGAAGAATAGGAAGTAAACGACAAGCCACTCTCGACGAAATCATAAAAACTCCATATAGGGTTAAGTAAACACAATGTACGATATTAAAAAAAAATATTTTTATCCCAACTATTCGATGTAAGTTACTAATTTGGATTTCGTTTTATGAAAAGAAATTTATATTAATTTAATACTAAACACGCTGTTTAGATATTTTTGTATATGCTATAAGTTAAGTGGTAACATATTTGTGATGTTGGGTTAAAAAAATTATAAAAAAGCATATGTTCACATAATTCAGTTTGGTTTTTTTGTAATAGAATGATTTATTATGGAATCAGTTATATCTCTGTAAAGCTCATATCATTGTTGATATAACAAGTATTAAGAACTTAGAAGTTATAAAATTTATAACTTACCTTTTTGTTATTTCGTTTTAAAGAAATTACTTATGATTTATATTATAAGATATCTATGCTGTGATAAAGCAGCTGTTGTTTTATTTTTTAAATAAAATCCTTTGTATAAAATTTGTATGTTTTATTTATATATATTAGCTATATTTTTTTAAATATTTGAAGTCTTCCACCAACAAAGAATTTTTTCAGCTTCAGTCATTTAATTGGATTTAGGTACCTGAAAAATGTTGATAAAATCAAAAGAGCAGATATATCAAATATGTTATTTTTTCTCAAATGAGATTAAAACGTGGGTTTAATGTCATAACACTTGCAAGGTAATTCTTATATGGTAGATTGATCAAAAAGTAACGGGAATTTTCAAATTATGTGTGTTGTATTTTGTCTATCGAGTTGATTCTTTTTTTGTTTATTGGTAACACTGTCAGTGATGGGCCTGTTAGTTTTTGGGCAGCTGCCACACTTTGTGTTTAGCGAGTGAATGAGTAAGACTTTCTTCAGTATTTTTAGTGATTTTTTGTGTGGCGAAATGTGGGATAAGAAAGTTTGTGTGATATTTTGAGATAAAAACGGAATTAAGTGTAGCGAACCATTCAAAATGTAAAAGAACGCCTTTGACGATGGTACTATGTGACAGCCACGAGTTTATCAATGGTACAAATGTTTTCAGGAAGGCTAAGAATACATCAAAGATGAGATGAGATCTGGTCAAATGTACAGGTTCTTCTAACAATTTTCTTCGCCTACAATGGAATAGTTCATCAAGAATTTTTACTGCATTGTCGTACAGCTAACAAGGAGAACTAACTACAAGTTTTGCACAATTTGCGTGAGGCAATCAGGAGAAAATGACAAGAATATGAAGAACTCATGGATTTTGCACCATAACAACACACGGGCACATGTCGACGTTTTAGTACGAAAACATGCTATCTCAGATTTCGGTTGGAAAACATGCTATCTCAAATTAAGCTTGGAAAACATGCTAGCTCACATCTTTAAATAAAAACATGCTATCTCAGTTTGAGATCACAGAAATTTAAGTTGCATGCATGCATTTATAATAAACATATATTATANCATAAAATGCCAGCACAAATAAAACAGCATTTATCCGTCCAGAGCACTTTGTTAATAAAGTTCTGCTGCACTTAGGAACCAATTGCAAAATTCAAGACGATTGGGGAAATCAGCTGCTTCTAAAGCTTGAACTTTTTGAAAATGTGTTATGTTAACTCCTTTGCGGGAAAAATGCGGGAGATATGGAGGGTGGTAGATTTGAATAAACGCTTTAAATTATTAATGGTTTTGTAACCGTGTGTAGTGTATTTTGTATATTTGGGTATTTAGTAGTATGCCGACTTTTTTATTTGATAAAATACGGTGTGCCTACAAACAGGCAACTACCTCTGCTTTATGTATGTTCTTTTAAAGAAAGTTTACTTCGAGAAGTCAGGCTCGTTAAAACATTCTACACTAAGTTAATACAATTGTTAAAATTATTTATAATAAAATGCAGCAAGCTTCTTTATTTACTTGAATACGTTTAACAGTAAATGTGAACCACACATTATGATGTGAACTTGGCAACGCTGTTCCTTTAGCCGACAACTGTTCGTGACATTACGTTACAAAATTTTCCGAGCATCCGGGGATCGGCCAGGGCCGCCCTCGTAGCGGGAGTTATGGGTCGATTTCCTTCATTTTTAAAAGTCGAGTAAAAATTGTTTTTTTCCAATTTTCTGTCTTTATTAAGCCTTCCCAATACGTGGTTAAAATTAATGACATTATGCCTGAATCAGCCTGTATAATATATTTTAAAAAAAGTAAGGAATGTTTATGTTTAGGTACACTGTTTATTATATATTTTTTATTCAACATTTTTCAATTAATTTTGCTATTACTTTTATAAACGACAAAATTGTTAATTAAAAAAAAATAGAATAATATGCAGTATGCTGCAACACGTACATTACCCGACGTTTTTTGAAATAACAAATTATAAAAAAAATAGTGTATACCTTAATATATAAAAATGTTTATCATTACTAAAAATGATTCAATTTTTTTCATACAAGTTTGCTTTGATATAAAAATTAATAACGCACTCTTATCTGATTTACTGTCAGTACTCTTACTTTTATTAATAGAGTTAGCATAATAACCAGAATATAAATATAATGTATAAAATGTATATATCGATGCGACGGGCGCCTATGATATGCACGTGCACATTTCCGCGGTTCCCCATGCACACATGTTTATCATCAGCACATCATAAAGTACCAGTAATAAAAGTGACGCATACCTGCATTTTATTTCCAAAGTCAATGCAAGGATGCGGCTACCGTGTTTTTATTGAGGTACAGTAAGAACGATTCGGACCCGGAGTTTGGGGCCTTCACTATATAATTCTTTTTATTGCAGTCTCCTTAGTCTGCATTAGGAAAAATTATTTTCAGAATAAAATGCGCATCTCAGATTTTCTGAAAAAGAAAAATAAGTGTATCAAGTGTAGCGACTATAAATCAGATAAGAGTACGCTATTAATTTTGATATCAAAGCAAACTTGTATGAAAAAAATCGAATCATTTTTAGTAATAACAAACATTTTTATATATTAAGGTATACATTATTTTTTTATAATTTGTTATTTCAAAAAACGTCAAGTAATGTATTTGTTGCAGCATACTGCATATTATTCTATTTTTTTAATTAACAATTTTGTTATTGAAAAATATTGAATAAAAAAATTTAAATAAACAGTGTACCTGAACATAAATATTCCTTAGTTTTTGAAAAATATATTATACAAGTTTATTATAAATGCATGGTTTCAATCATTCAATGTGCCAACTTAAATTTTTAGTCACACTGAGATAGCATGTTTTTACTTAAAGATCTGAGCTAGCATGTTTTCCAAGTTTAATTTGAGATAGAATGTTTTCCAACCAGAATTTGAGATAGCATGTTTTCCAACCGAAATCTGAGATAGCATGTTTTCATACTAAAGCACGGATATGGCTTTGCTTATCTAACAGTTCTTGACAGAACACAACACCATTGTGATGCATGCAGCAACCACCGTATTCTCCGGACATGACCCCTGTGACTTGTTCCTACTTCCCAAATTCAAAAAGATACTCAACGGACGTTTTTCAACAATATATGAGGTAAAGTCAAAATCGCTAACAGTGCTCAAGATGATACCAAAAGAGGCATTCCACCAGTATTTCTCAAACTGGCAACTACATTGGCATAAGTGTATATCACTTTGAAAGGGATGGGATAAAAATTGCAGATTAAGTAAATACTTTCTGAGAAAATTTACGATTCCCGTTACTTTTTGATCAAACCTCGTATTTTAACTGCAGGTATAAGTCACAATGTAAATGAATCCAGTGAATCATTTTTTAAAATTACAAATATTTAGGGAGATATCTTATTCTTAAAGCTGTCCACAAGGAACATAACCAAAACCGTGTTGCTGATTGTCAAACTGATCTAGAATACTTGGCTCACTCTCATAATTTTCATTTCAATCTTTTGTTAGAATTGTTCCGGCTGATTTATGTTTTTATTTAATACTCTGCATAAACCACTGTAAGTTGTAGTCAGCTTGTGTATTTAAATATTTTTACAGGATGTTCTAATTTATACTAGTGCACACCATTAACATAAAAACATTAAGCTCCTAATATGTTTTTTAATACACCCTAAAAAGGCACAATTTTGTAAGCTATAACTTCCTCAAATCTGCCTCGGTTGATTTTTCTTCCTCAAATTTTAAAAAATTTTATTAAGCTGTTCACACACCCGTACACTTTTGTAGCACAATAATGTGAAATTTTTTGTTGACAAGTTAACCTGCAACCTCAATATATGAGTTATATCATTTTGTTTTCATTTCATTTTACATTCATAATGTTTATTATATTAACCGTAGCGATCCCAAATTTTATAATGTAGTGAAAAAATATTTATAGTGAGTGGTATATTAAACATAAAATCAAAAGAACAAAAATGGAATCAGATTATAAAAATATCCAAGTTACTTTCTGTTGAAAAAATACAATACACATGAGAAAGCGTGACTGTTGTGGAGTTATAAATACACTCACCAGCATGAAAAACGGAGCACTTGCATTTTTTTCAAGAAAAGCTTAAATTTCTAAGAATTCAGATGTTTTATTTGTCTAATAATGCAAACATAAGCAAAACAAAACTTTTTAAACAATTTTCAAGAACGCTTTAAAGATTATTTGATAATTTTGCACAAAATTTATGAAAGCTGAATGATACAGTAATCTTATTCCTTAAATATTCGTAGTGCTCTGGATATGCGCGTTTTTAAATTGTTTTGTAATCGTCAAAAAGTTAAAAAAAGTTGAAAGCAGTGTTGTGAGTTGTGTTGTGTTAGTTTAATCACATGAATAATGGCTGTAAATTCTGAAACAGCAGCTGCTATCGTTGCATTGATTCAAGATGGAAGAAGGCACCGATATGTTGCCCAATAATATCAAATATCGAATGGCACAGTCCATCGCATTTATGGATGTTTTGTGGAAACTGGATCTTACAGAAGGCGACCTGAAACTGGTCCTCAACGAAGAACCAATGCCCACAATGATCGTTTTATTGTCATGCAAAGCCTTCGGAATCTTCAGTATGTTCGAAATACCAACGTAAGTGAAAGGACAGTTAGACACTGACTTGGAGAAGCAAATCTGACTAGTCGTAGACCTGCAACAGGACCAGAACTTCTTAGACGTCATCGCACTGCACGACTTCAGTTTGCTAGAAATCATCAGATTTGGGGTGAAAACGAATGGGGTCGCGTCTTGTTCACAGACAAGTCAAGATTTAGTCTGCGACCTCCAGATGGTCGTGAGAGAATATGGGAAGATCACAAGAACGTTTTGCCGAATGTTCCTTCAGTCCTAGAGACGGATATCAAGGGGGTTTAGTTATGGTCTGGGCTGGAATTTCTCTGGAAACGCATACAGAACTCTATATCGTTCCAAGCGGCTCCCTCACAGCTGCTAGGTACATTGGTGATATTCTCTAAGATTTTGTGGTTCCTTATGCCAGTTTCATGTTAGATGACTTTCTGCTAATGCATGATAATGTTAGACCCCATACTGCAAGAATGACGCTACAATATCTGAACGAGGTAAACGTTGCTGTTATGGAGTGGCCAGCATTAAGTCCAGATGCCAACTCAATTGAGCATGTTTGGGATATGCTTGAGTGACGAATTCGCAGTCGACTTCCTGCGCAACTAACCTTAAATCAGCTTCAAGATGCTCTTGTGGAAAAATGGGAACTTTTTGTCCAAGAGGACATCAGGGACCTGATTTGCATGCCAAGACGAATTAAAGCAATAATTAGAAGTTGTGGGGGCAACACTCATTATTGAATGGAAATTGTTTGAGTTTTAGTTATTTTTGCTTTAGTTTGCCACAATACTTTCCTGCGTTTTTTTATTTTCTTCACATTTTGTTGAAAAACTTACGTGTGAATCATGAATATATATTTTCTTATTAAAAATCATAGAAAATATTTTGTACTGATGGTGTTTACACTAATACAGTACAAAAACATTACAATCAACTAAAAAAATAAGATTTAAAAAAATGTGACTGTTCCGTTTTTCGTGCCGGTGAGTGTACTTTATTACAAGAATTAATGCTCTAAGCAGATATAGCACCACAATATAAGTTTGCACAATTTATTGAAATTGTAGCATTTTTTGCACTTTGCATTAGTAAAGTTGCATTATTTTCCAGATAGCGTCATACAAAAGATGTACAAGTGTGCGAGCAGCATTAGTGATTTTTTATCCGAAATCGAATAATGCCACATTACTTTACACCATCCAAAATCTAACATTATTAAAATTTTTATCATGTTCCATTTTAAATTTTCAATAATTTATTTGTTTTATTACTATAATTTTTTTTTAAATTTAATGTCAGGTAATTCACTGTAGGAGAAGCAACATAATGTAGCAGCTCCTGAAATACTAAAATCGATCACAGCAACAGTGTTGCGATGCTACATGATAAAAAGTGTAACCTCTACATTAAATTTTTTTTAGAACACTTTCACCCCAGAATATTTCAACTTTTTTGGAGCAGTGTTAAAATTGCAAAAACTTTTCAATGAAGTATAAAAAAATTAATTGCCCATCATCCAAAAAGTTAATTCTAAAAAATTCGTCGCAATTTTGAAATAGTTATGATTTCCAAATATGCACGTTTTTAGAGTCCAAGTTAAAAATAAATATTTGAGTTGAGCTGCCACTTTGGTAGTACAGGCTACTATTAAATGAATTAATATTTAGAAATGAATATAAGTTGACAAATATGGTGAAAACGTATTGTTTAAATATACCAAATTTTCCATTTTTTATAAAAAGTTACGAGTTCTGTAACACAAGCAACACTGTACAGTTTATCTACTGTATAAGTAAATTTTATAGTAAAATCAGCAGTTCTCAAGCTTTCTTTTAAAAAATGATGCGTATTTATTAAATCTGTCTTTTTTATTTCCATTTTTTTTTTATTGTATGTTCTATACCAGTGCTTATTAACCCGGGGGTCTGCGAAGTCTTTAGGAACACTAAATCACTAATAACTTAATTAAGAAAATGCACTCTTTTATGTCAGAGTGTAACTTATTGTTGATTTTTCCAATATTTACGTTTGGTATGCAATTTAAAATTAATATATCAAACCCATTTAAATTGGGACTTATATCTAAGTAACTGGGGGTCTGCAACAACAAAAAAATATCGAAAGTAGGTCTGCGGTAAACAAAATGTTTAGAACTGCTGTTCTATATAGTAAACTACACACATTTAAAATTACCTTATGTACTGGACCAATCACCTTTCACCGTTTGTTCTAATATGATTGGCCCAAAACACTCTTCTCTCTTACAAAAAGACAGTTGACACAACTGTCTTAATCGAGTAAAAGTATATCAGCGAGTGAAATTACCACAGGGGCAAAGTGAAGAATAGCTCGTTCCTGAAGCGACAACTCTTTATTTTTGTTTACTGTCTCTGTTTCGTGCCAATAATGTTGGAACATTTGGTGAAAGGTGGTTGGTTGCAAAAGGTTGAATTTGGAGTGCAAAACCTATAGAAAGCAATCCATCCATACAAATTTGAATAGAATACTACCGTAAGCAAAAATCGTTTACAACAGGACTTAATCAACTAGGTGTCACATTTGGATTTTTTGCAGCTTTTGCAGGATTTGGGATGTTCTCCTCGGGCTGGCCAAGACAAGCACCGATAGGACAATGACAGGATTTAGCAACGGCAATGTCATGGGATTTGGTAACAACGTCTATGGGATCTTTAATATTAGATTTCTCGACTTTCAATGTATTTACCTTCTCCGTTGACAGTAGTTCTGGTTTTTTCTCATCTGAAACAAATGAAGTAGCTGTTGATTTTACACTCTCCCAGGCTTCAGAAAAGCTGGTTGGTATTTTTGGTAAAGATGGCAGTTCTAGTGGTGGGTCGTCTTTTTTAACTGCAAATATTAATAAAACCGGTGAATAACCATTTGGTAGTTTTTGTACACTCTTTTTATGCAAGTAGTTCATTATACTAATGTTTTTCTTACTAGAAATAGAGATCCTAAACTAAAATATTATTGTTACATACCTCCATAAACAAAGTTGTATGCAATAGTAATATATTTCTTTGATTCTGTAAGTCCAATTCGAGTATATACTGCTGCCTCTTTTGGATAGCACAAGGCTGCCATACCTAAAGCACCAGTTGTTGCATAGAGTGTTCTTTTAAAAAATCCACCACGTAGTCCAAAAATTAGACCTGTGAGTGCTCCAATGCCTATTGCTCCTGCTTTTGGTAATGTATTATTTTCTTCTTGTAAGTAGCTAATTACATCTAAAAATTATTTAAACACTGAAAGGATAGTCATTTTAACTTTATTTTAAAATAGATGTTAAACACGATTTAAAGAAATCGCATTTAAATTGTGACACTTACATTCTACGTTTTCCCTGCTTTTTTCAAACTGATCAAGTCCTACTTTTTTATAAGCTTGAAGTTCTTCATTATATTTAGTCAAAGTTAATCGAATGTTTCTAAATGAATCTTCAATGAACCCTGGTATCTCCCGTTCCTTTAAGGCTGTGGTAGATTCCCAAATAGGCTCCGGGCTATATATTGGAAGTTCACTAGGTCTGCACAATAATTCTTGTTCATTTTTCGCTTGTGGTTTAACTGTAGCTTCAACTACAACTGCAGCTGCTGGTATTAAACACCTTCTAATGACCTATAATTTTGAAACCTTCTATAAAAATTACGGGTTTATTGGATATTTCTGGTAGTTTTTAAACTTACTTGGCTTGTAAACATTATTAAATTATTAATTATATTTTTTCTATTTTTTTTAATAAATTACGTAAACATTGACAGGTCCAGTGACAAATGTGATGTTATATCCATGCGCAAGTGCACAGGACGAATATGTTAAGCGGGTCATTCAAAAATTGTATAAAGAATTTCTTTATGCATTCTTTATAATTTTTTAAATATTCATTAGAGTCATAATTACCCTGAAAAACACAGTACACAACATTTTTCTTCTGATTTATGTCATCTCTCTACATACAATTTTGTCATAATTTTTAATTAGTAGATCAACTGACAATTTCTTTCATCGACTTACACGACTTGTATATAAATAAATAGGTATACAGGGTATTGTAGGCATATTATCAAAATATTTTTAAGTATTTTCTAAATATGCAAAAAATGCGATTTAATAAAATACCTTCACACTCTTAAGAGTTTTCTACGTTGGGATGAAGATGAAATAATATAAAGAGACTTAGAGATTCGTAGAAAATTAAGAATTTATTACAGCTGGAATGTTTTTTTTTATGTAATTCACAAAATATACACTAGATCCACAGAGTTATACACCGTGTCCACCTAGTGCGCGTAAATCCAATATCTAGGTTAATAAAAGATATAACTTAATTTTTTTAAATGCAAACGTATATTTTTTATGGCATTATCGAATTCTACGTGAAAAATTAACGGGACTTTGTGTTATGATCCCTATTAAAATACTTATATTGATAGTTTTCGAGATAATCGACTTTTCATTTTTTTTCTTATGTTACGTCACTTCTTGTAGTTGACATAATTATGATTGTATGACAGCTAGAAATTATTTTTTTTCAGGAACTGTTGAGTGAAGATGGCTCTTTCAAAAAACGTATCAAAAGTTGACCTGCGATATACAAGGGGCAAAAAAATCGTGCCAAATCTGATAATTTAAAATTTGAAAAATCTCGACTTTTTCAAATAGAACACTCTGTTTTTTATGATTTCATTATATGCCTTTCTGTAGACCCTACAATTTTTTAATAGCTTTCCCTATACCTAAAGTTGCGTAGTTTTTGTAAAAAACCCATTTTTATGTTAAATACCGGATTTGCGCCCGTTCGTTTATTAGATAGTTTTTCTGTATACAAAATTTCTACTGGATCACTCAGATCCTCATAAATTAATTTCTGATCTATATTTTCTATTAAGAAGAAGATACGCAGTTTTTTCAATTATTTTCGACATGCGAAAATCACTATTGAAGTAATCCGAAATAAAATTCGTTGTAATCTGAAATAATAATCGTTAGCCCCAATCCGCCTTAAATTGGAATTGATAAATTTTGCTAAGATATTTAACTTGTTCATGAAAATTCAAACTCGTTGATAATGTTAGGTATTTAAGAAATCAACAAAATCAGTCATAATATCTGTTGACGATAAGTATTGTCTTTTTCATATTTCTCGACATCTGATATACCTACTTACCTACACATTATCAGCATGTATACCTACAGGGTGGCCAAATGAAAACGAAACAGAGCCATTTTCAGGAACTGCGTCAAGATGGTAGAAAAACGCTCAGAGCCGTCGATTTTAGATTAAAGGGGGACATTCTCTGCTGGTATTTTTGACTCCGCCACTTTCACCCCTAAGCAAGGGTAAGCATCATCCCAAAATATTTAAATGGCATTGGGGGTTGAGTACTATTTCTTTTGAAAGCTCTTACAACAGACTTTAAATTTTATAATTTCGCCCAATATTTGAAAAAAAATTTACAATTTAAAATTTAAATTATGTTTAGTTGCTTACTTACTACTTAGTTGATTAAATGTTCAAACTGATGAACGCCCCCTTCCATACAAGAATAAAGATTTTGTTCGAAACGTTCGCGCACATTCCGAAGCATTTCCGGAGTGATTTGACGATATTCGTCGATTTATAGATTTTACTTTTTAGGTATCTCTACAAAAAGAAATCAAGGGGCGATAAATCCGGTGATCGTGGAGATCAGCAAAGAATGCCCCCCTTTAATCTAAAAACGACGGGTCTGAACGTTGTTCTACAATCTTGACGCAGTTCCTGAAAATGGTTCTGTTTTGTTTTCATTTGGCCACCCTGTATATTAGTCCACATTATTCAGTATCCAACACAATAGGATTAATGTAGCTTTAATAATAATGTTTGTGACAGTTGTATGGATAATCCTTCATAATTTTTTCGTCTGCATCCACATAGAGAAAAGCAGAAAATACCAGATTACTACATACTTATCTAATTAATGGTATCTATTATTATAATAGATTTATTAATGTCTAAATTCTTTATCTTTTATTTAAACAAAATAACTATATCTGCACAAAGAAATTATTAAAAGTTCAGAAAATATGAACCAAGTCTTGTCCTATGAACGTATTGTTTATAATAAATTTAATTTTTTATTAAATTCAGTGCAATTAAGATAATTTTGGTGGAGAAGCATCAACTACTTCATATTTTAGTAATCCCAATATCCGCGTCATTGTGTAATAACATGTACATGTCTGCCTCTGATCTGTAGCTTCGCATCGATCAATTTATTCGATACGATACCTTAATGCCTGACTTGTCGGTCTGGCATGCCGGAGAACAATCCAAGTTTTTTGCTGAGGGACGTTGGACGTTTGTGATTGTGTCCCTGGGTTTAATGCTTTGCTTGGTCTACTGAGTCGAGTGTATGGCACATGTTTTTTTGGCAGTCAGTAGCATAGTATGTCGTGAGCATAGAGCGGCATCGTTTTGACCATAGATTTAGCCTATTGTATCTGCTAATAAGCTAATACAACGCGTATTCCGTATTGACGCTTACTAGCATAATAGATATTACTACTTCTTATTTATGTGAAGGTCACCGCAACGTTTCTGATCTCTATTAATAATAATCTAATATCTAATAGATAGTTGACGATTTTTATAGTCAGTAGTTACAATTGTTCCAATATTGCTATTTTTCTTTATCTTAAAATGAATTTGAAAATGTATCAATCTGTAACTATTAGTACAATCAAAGATGGTTGTAAATATAATTTTATTTTAAAAAGAAATATTATAAATATTTGTGAAAATAAGGTATACCTATAATCATTTTGAGAGAAACAGTTCTAATAAAATATACTATGAATACTATCATTGGGTACTTTTTTATTATTAATACCTAAATTATTCCATTATTGTTGTAAAATGTTCAATATTTAATTTGAACATACTTTTTATGGCAATCTAAGTGGAAGATCTGACTGCAGTTTAAAAAAGTTGACTTTCATTCTCGATCCTCTGTAGTGTCCATCGATCGTAGCTATTTCCATTCCTCGCATAACCCACCACGTTGTATCCAGCCTTTGCAAGTCCATTTAGAATGTGAATGACTGATGTCTCCGTTATCACTAAGAATCCTCTCCCAATTTCATATTTTGGCGATTCTAGACTCTCTATTATGTCATCAATGTCGTCTAACTCGTAATAAATTTTCACTGTTATATTCTTGTCTAAGTTATTGGACGATTGTTGTGGTTCTAGCACGATGAAATCGTAAGAGAATACCACATTTATAAGTACGTATGTTAGGAAAATGTACAATGGAAGTGTCGATTTCATCATCAGGAATATCAGTGTACCCTTGTTACCTCTTACTGCTGAAACAGAAAATATAATAATATTACACACACAGGATGAATTTTTATGGTAAAAATTTAGGAATTTAGAATGTAAAAATAATGACATTTTGCTATAAGTTTTTTTGTCGAAACTTCTCCGTTTTCGAGATATAGGGAGTTAGTTTCTAAAAGAAATGTTATATCTCTGAATACCTTCAAAACAAATGGAGAGATCGAAACTAAATTACGTATGTAAAATAAATTACTTAACAAAATGGAATACATGAAAAAAAATATAAATTTTAACTGAAACTAGTTATTTTGAACGAGTTTTTTCTTAATTTTGCATTTATTTCGAAAACAAATTATAGCAAAGTGCCATCTCCACACTTCTTCGTCTTTCATTCCTGAATATTTTGTAGTTAAAATTTGGATAACCCTGATATGTACTACAATCTCAATAGAACAAAATTACTTACTGAAAAGTATTTATTACACATTAGACTATGAATTAATAATAAATAAATTAGTTGAAGCAAGTTTAAATTGTTACCTGTGCTTATGAATTAATAATCTCTCTGGTAGGTACTGTAGACTGCGATTTTGTAAACCTTTTACATTAAAAATATTTCGTGCTTATAAGTTCAATTATCTATAATTTTCATTAATCATTTGATCAGTTTTTGTTTATTTTATATATCATGCTGACGTGCAGTGTCTACTGTTTTATACACAGTGTAATAAAAAAACAAATGACGATCATAACTTTTCTTCCATTTTATCGAGACTGATGTTGGGATGTAATTTTTCATAAAAAATATATCAATTGCACCAGATCCTCTGTAATTTTTAATATGTATCTTCCTTACTATGTTGGTATAATCTTATTTATATCAGATAATTATTTCTGTTGTTAATTTAAGTAGATAAATATTACTGACAAGAGTCAAAGTTTTCTAAAAATCTTTCTGTAACATCTTTATTGTTTTAAGATTATCTGATTGTTCATAAAGAATCGGCAGAATTCCAGTCAGGCAAAAATTAGTTTCAAAATTGAGTGATATTTTTTTCCTAATATTATACATAAGCATTCTATTACTCTTACACTTTGTTTATGTTGTTTTAATTAATTACCCTGTACCGTATAAACAAAATATTTATTTAATTAAGATTTCATAATCATAGGATTTATTATTCTGAGATGATAACATTGTACACTATATAATTAAAAGCACGTCGATATTACTAGACTTTTCTCAGACTTTCTCAGACGTTAGGCGTTATCTTACAGGTTTTATAAACAGGGATTAGGGTAAATTTTATTTAGTGTAAGTAATACAATATATTTTATTCTTGCTTTGTGGTTTTATAGATAAGTAAGTGGTTGATTGTTACAACAATTAAAAAAATTGTGAATTATTTTATACATTTTTATATCTTATTTGTTCTTATACGATACTCTTTCAGAAAGTTTGATTTAATTTCATACAAGCCTTATTTCACCTTTTAAGTTTTACTTTAGACAGTGTTATTCCTATTTCAAATTAGTCATTTGTTTTTCAGAAAGTGTTACTTGTTGGGAAAGTATTTTCCACTTCGATTTGTATAGTCAGGGAGACGGACTTAGCAATTTCTCCGTTGGTGCTTACTTAGCTCATCATCAACATCAACAGTAATTTGCTTGGGTAGTGAAAAGTACGTACCTACATAATTTTTAAACCCTTTATATATTTGGTCAAAACTTAACATACATTTTACAAAAATTGGAATAAATAAATATATGTAATATGTATCTGCAAATACCTAAAAAAACTAAAAATGTCTTATATTTACAAAGGAAAAACTAAAATTGGTATTTAATCAAAGCCAGTAACGAATGCAACAGTAATTAAATATTTTGTACATTCGAAACAAGCAGTTACATAATTTAAAACGCACTAACAATAATTGCGGCAAAGAATATTAAATTTAAATTTACTCAGTCCTCAACATAAAAAAAATCTTTCTTATTTCATTGGTATTTATACATTCATTGGCAATTTTATTAATGTCATTGTTGCTGTTACAGCTTTTGTATAATTAATTGAGAAGTAGTTTCACCTTTTTTGTGTTATATGTCCAATCTATATAAATTTTGCAAATCCTGGTATATAGGTAATGCAAAGAAAGGTAGTCAGGTATTCCCAAAAGATTTAGAATGTCCGTACGCGTTTAAGAGCATATCTCGATGTAAGGTAAATTTGTTTTTATTAAAGTGTGACTCTTAAAAAATAATATAAGAATTATAATCTCGTCAGAGCTGGTATCTCTTGCAGCAATTCGAATTGTAAAATGGCATCACTTTTAAATCTATCATCAACTATTAAGAAAAAAGTTACCTTATACATATTTTCTGGAGTTTGAAAAGCATATAGAGTACAGTCATCATAACGCTTAGACATCTTAATCACTCTAAGTAAAACTGGTTCATCGATTTTTTTCTCCTTTTCACACTAAACTTGCAGATACATTTTCCATGTACAATTTAAAATTTCAATAAAACAATGATTTGCTTCGAATAACAATATTAAGCCGCTTAACTCTATTAAACGTGGAAATCATTGCTTTCAATAAAAATAAAAATTTGTTTCGATACAAACTAGCAAGATACCTACTAGCTTCACTATCTGCTTCGCTATTTTCTTTAGATATCTCATCAAGAAACAAAAGAACATTATAATTGGACATTAATGTTTATAGAGATTTGATCCGCATACACTATTTTGTTGGGCAGAATAGAGTAATGTATACAGGGTGATTCATTAACAATGGGAAAATCGAAAGCTGAAGATACTACACGTGAAATGGTGACCATTGGCGCAAACATGCCTTATCCGAAAGTTGATAGTTTCGGAAATACAGGGTGATGAAAGTTAAAATTTTAAATCGTTTTTTTGCGATTATTCTGAAAATATATAGGTTAGGAACTGGAAAATTTGTGCAACTATATTTTTTTAAGCGACAAATAAGATGCGTGCTGCAATTTCAGCGTTGCTCATAGCGGGCGCCACCTACGACCAAATTTACCAAAAATTTAGTTAATAACTTTTTACTCTGAATATCTAACATGAAACTTGATTCAAAAGCTGAAAGAGCAATAATTTTTCCATTAATTATGTACTCTCATTTCATTTCGGTATCTCGATCCGTGTTAGAGAAAAATCGATTTAACGAACACTATGTTTTGATAATGCCAAAAATTAAAAGCGAAACAAGCTAAGTGTTTCTTCATGTCATTTCAACAATCAACAATAAAACAAATGAAATACGTAATAATGATTTAAAGTAATTATTGTTCGAAGCAACCACCGTTGACACTGATACACTTTACACAACGTTTTCTGAGAGATCTTCGAGTTTGAAACAACATATTGGGATTGCATCTGACTTCGTTGGCAGCGATTTATATTCATTGCCACAACTCTTCATGCGAACCAATAGATTCTTTGTAAACTATATCTCTCATTCGAGACCAAAAAGAAAAATCAAGAGGGTTGAAGTCCGGACTTCTGGGTGGCCAAGCAAAAANACATAAAAAAAATCTTTCTTATTTCATTGGTATTTATACATTCATTGGCAATTTTATTAATGTCATTGTTGCTGTTACAGCTTTTGTATAATTAATTGAGAAGTAGTTTCACCTTTTTTGTGTTATATGTCCAATCTATATAAATTTTGCAAATCCTGGTATATAGGTAATGCAAAGAAAGGTAGTCAGGTATTCCCAAAAGATTTAGAATGTCCGTACGCGTTTAAGAGCATATCTCGATGTAAGGTAAATTTGTTTTTATTAAAGTGTGACTCTTAAAAAATAATATAAGAATTATAATCTCGTCAGAGCTGGTATCTCTTGCAGCAATTCGAATTGTAAAATGGCATCACTTTTAAATCTATCATCAACTATTAAGAAAAAAGTTACCTTATACATATTTTCTGGAGTTTGAAAAGCATATAGAGTACAGTCATCATAACGCTTAGACATCTTAATCACTCTAAGTAAAACTGGTTCATCGATTTTTTTCTCCTTTTCACACTAAACTTGCAGATACATTTTCCATGTACAATTTAAAATTTCAATAAAACAATGATTTGCTTCGAATAACAATATTAAGCCGCTTAACTCTATTAAACGTGGAAATCATTGCTTTCAATAAAAATAAAAATTTGTTTCGATACAAACTAGCAAGATACCTACTAGCTTCACTATCTGCTTCGCTATTTTCTTTAGATATCTCATCAAGAAACAAAAGAACATTATAATTGGACATTAATGTTTATAGAGATTTGATCCGCATACACTATTTTGTTGGGCAGAATAGAGTAATGTATACAGGGTGATTCATTAACAATGGGAAAATCGAAAGCTGAAGATACTACACGTGAAATGGTGACCATTGGCGCAAACATGCCTTATCCGAAAGTTGATAGTTTCGGAAATACAGGGTGATGAAAGTTAAAATTTTAGATCGTTTTTTTGCGATTATTCTGAAAATATATAGGTTAGGAACTGGAAAATTTGTGCAACTATATTTTTTTAAGCGACAAATAAGATGCGTGCTGCAATTTCAGCGTTGCTCATAGCGGGCGCCACCTACGACCAAATTTACCAAAAATTTAGTTAATAACTTTTTACTCTGAATATCTAACATGAAACTTGATTCAAAAGCTGAAAGAGCAATAATTTTTCCATTAATTATGTACTCTCATTTCATTTCGGTATCTCGATCCGTGTTAGAGAAAAATCGATTTAACGAACACTATGTTTTGATAATGCCAAAAATTAAAAGCGAAACAAGCTAAGTGTTTCTTCATGTCATTTCAACAATCAACAATAAAACAAATGAAATACGTAATAATGATTTAAAGTAATTATTGTTCGAAGCAACCACCGTTGACACTGATACACTTTACACAACGTTTTCTGAGAGATCTTCGAGTTTGAAACAACATATTGGGATTGCATCTGACTTCGTTGGCAGCGATTTATATTCATTGCCATAACTCTTCATGCGAACCAATAGATTCTTTGTAAACTATATCTTTTCATTAGACCAAAAAGAAAAATCAAGAGGATTGAAGTCCGGACTTCTGGGTGGCCAAGCAAAAATTCTTCCACGGCTTGAAGAAGTTCTACTTTATTTAAGAAGAGACATGTGGTCATGCACGACGGAGCTCCACCGCATTTTTCTCGGCCAGTGCGTGTATATTTAGATGCAGTTTTTCCAAATCGCTGGATTGGCTATGTCAGCATTTTTGCTTGGCCACCCAGAAGTCCGGACTTCAATCCTCTGGATATTTTTTTTGGTCTTAAATAAAAGATATAGTTTACAAAGAATCTATTGGTTCGCATGAAGAGTTGTGGCAAAGAATACAAATCGCTGCCAACGAAGTCAGACGCAATCCCAATATGTTGTTTCAAACCCGAAGATCTCTCAGAAAACCTGTAAAGTGTATTAGTTTCAACGGTGGATTTTTCGAACAATTACCTTAAATCATTATTACGTATTTCATTTCCTTCATTATAGTTCTGGATTTACTATAATTTAAATTTGTGCTTAATATTTACAGATTCAGAAGATCCAGAAGCAGCCATGAAAATTGCGATTATTTTTCAATACAGTATTCTTGTTTCTCTATTTGCAAGTGCAGTATTATGCCAAGACTTCGTCATAGTCGAACCCCAAACAAGGACATACAATATGAACGAAAATATTACTCTAAGGGTTTATCATGACTTGGAAGACGTGGAGGTGTTAATAGACACATTGAATTGTACAGAATATGAGTTAGGAAAGGGATATCTCAACATAGAAATGACGTCTGTGATTCATAACTTAAATGGCCTCGCAGAACTGGGGTATAAAGTGGTCGGTTATGGTAGGGATACCTATTATTACGACCGCTGGACTCTACAAAGAAGAGTTTCTGAAATTGATGATGGTGGTAGTTCTGCTAATATTTTAGAATGCTTTCCAAGAATGTTTAGTTTCATGATAGTTTTAATTTTGCTTGTAATTAAAGAGATGGTATAATATTTAATTTTTCATTTGAATCTAACAGCGTTTTACTATTAGAGTATTTACTACATGGAGGAAACACCGGGTGTTAAAAGTATAGACGCTGTAGAGAGAAAGGTAGATAGTTTGGGTGCTCACTTTCTCTCTCTCTAATCGTTGAGGAAGGACTTGCGTTAGCCAATCAAGTGCCTGTGTGAGATAGAAATATAGTACCCAAACTATGTCTTTCTCTCTCTCTATCTCTCTAATGTTTTCTCTAAACTGCTAAGTGTCAAAATTAAAAGACTGACATTTACGACCTAAGCCTGGATAAACATGTATGCGCATGTGACCAAACTGTTTTGACCTTGAGTCGCTTTACTGATGCACAATTGGTTGTTAATGGCCACAACGGATCCGTGATCACGCATACATGCGGATCCAGGCTTAGACTTGTGCTTTCAGAAAGCAACAGTGAAGTCGCCATACTGCAGGCACAGACAATATAGCGTATCGCTACAGACTGCTACATAAATGCTGGAAATTGGCAACCCGAAATGGAAGCAGCGTCTCCTTAGCCGGCTTCCAGCTATAAAATTTAGCGTGGTAACTTCTACTTGCTAATAGGCGGCAGTTCCAGCGGTGGCTTTGTTGCCAAATAATAACTGCTAAAGAAATTTAATGCTTTAAATTATGTAATTAAAGAGATATGGAACTTATCTTGTGTTTGGAAATCACATTTGCCTTAAATGTTAAATAAAATAAATCAAGTTAGAATTAAAACTATGAATTTACCTAATTAATTATTTATTTTATATCACCTTGGAATGGGAAAATTCAAAAACTCGAAAGTAATGTTTTTAGATTTGTGCGTCGACTTCCAATATGGTACGATATCAAAACCTATGTTTAAAAAAATTGCATTATACAGATTGTGTATCCTTAGATGGGTACTGCCTCTTATTGTTGATTTCTTTAGATAGGTAAATAATTATTTATTGACACAAGTGTTGCATATTATGGATGTCATTGGTAGTGCCTATATTTGTGACACAAGGTGTTCAAAAAAATTAACACAATGTAAAATTGCTGGAACCTCAAGGAGTAGTTGAATACGAAATTTATTTAAAAAAAAACAACAAATCATCAATCAATACAGAGATAAGATAATGCGTTCGCTACTGCTGTTGCAATTTTTAACTAACTAACTTTTTTGTTTTTCGACATACTGACTTCGGACCGTTTCCATTCAACGCAGAACGGACAATCAGAACCAGAGTAGTGGGGAGATTTTTTTAATCATTTTTTCAATTCAACCCACCGTTTCCGAATTATAAGACCTTTTTTACTGTATCATCTCACACACCTCTTTTTTCCGAAATTTATTTTCCACATACGGACTTCGGACCTTTTCCATTCAACGCAGAACTGTCATACAGAACATGGGGTGTGGGGAGATTTTTTCAATTATTTTTTCGATTTAACGCACCGTTTCCGTGTTATACGGCCTTTTTACTATAACACGAAATACCTCTTGTTTCCAGAATTTATTTTCGACATACGGACTTCGGACCTTTTGCATTCAACGCAGAAGCAACATACAGAACCCGGGAGGGAGGGGTTGACAATTTTCAATTATTTTTTCGATTCAACGCACCGTTTCCGAGTTATAAACCACTTTTTTGTCCTATGACGTCACACACCGTTGGTCCCGATTTTTTTTTTGTTGACATGCGGGTTTTGACGTTTTTCACTCGTTCACTATGGGAGATTTATTTGTTCACCATGGGAGATTTTTGATACTTAAGAGTCTAAGCAAATACTGTTTTTTTTTTCTTTCATATATTGTGACACCCTGCTCTGCGTCACCCACCGAGTGCTCTACTCAGAACCAAGGGGAAATTTGTTTATATTTCCAGCCATTTCCGAGTTACGAGTAAAAACCATTTTTTTTTCTTATACTGTGTGACATCATAGATCGATAACAAAGGCTTAACAAAGCCACGCGCTCTACCCCACGTTCCTTCCCTAGGTGTCCTGAAATTGCTGGGGAGACTCCTGAAGCCAGCAGAGAGAGAGAGAGAGAGAGAGAGAGAGAGAGAGAGAGAGAGAGAGAGAGAGAGAGAGAGAGAGAGAGAGAGAGAGAGAGAGAGAGAGAGAGAGAGAGAGAGAGAGAGAGAGAGAGAGAGAGAGAGAGAGAGAGAGAGAGAGAGAGAGAGAGAGAGAGAGAGAGAGAGAGAGAGAGAGAGAGAGAGAGAGAGAGAGAGAGAGAGAGAGAGAGAGAGAGAGAGAGAGAGAGAGAGAGAGAGAGAGAGAGAGAGATAAGCTCTCTATGAGGACAGAGTCACTCTATCTCTATCGCACACTATAACTCTATCTCTCTCGCACACAATCAGACAAAAACGACAGAAACGAACCTTCTTTTAAAAATACATGGGATTTATCATTATTAGAATAACCCATTTTAATTTAAAAAATTAAAAAAATTACAATGGGTTATTCTGATGACGAAAAATAAAACATAATTAACTGTATTATTCAAATAACAATAATGTGCAAAAGTTCTTCAGGAATATTGGCAAATTTATTTTGGAGGAAGAATCCCGTCAACGAACACTAAAAAATATTATTAGAAACCTTAGGTGGCCAGAAAACAGCCCCGATCTCATTGTCAGTCCTTTAGACATATTTTTTTTACCTGAAAATTTGCAAGTATTGAAAAAAAATACAGGACGAAATGCTTGATAATTTTGAATTTGTTTTTGAAGCAATTAATAGTAAATTGAAACATATTTTCAACTGTATCATCACAATCACTTGCATGTTGATTTGTAAAAATTGTAGGTATATTAATGTTATTTCGTTTTTAGTTATTCTCCTTATGTTGTTGTAAAGGTTAGTTATAAAAAGCGTTGTTTGTTATTTTCATAAGGATGAATTTTAATTTTTTTTAATGATTTTTTTTATTTTAAACATATATATTTTATGCCAGTAAATTTTGATGTCAAATGAAATAAAGGAAAAGTCGTACATTTGTATTTAAAGTTTCTTTCTATCTTTAATTATTAAACCTATAAGTGGATGTCAAAATAAAAAAAAAAACCTGTACCTACATTCCGCGACGTACTAATAACCCACCTTGTATATTAAATAAATTTATCGTCATCATCAAATATTAAAAAAATTATATTACAAGCTGTTTAAAATATTATTACGAATTTTGTTTATTTGGAAATATATTTTCTGCAGTATTTCAATACCAAAAAATGAAAATAGTAGGTAGCTAATTAACGAAATTATGATTAAATAACTTAATTGTAACACCACTGCAGAATATCATATGATACATACATAGATATTCGTTGATTCTTTAAAAACATTTTTATCAATACCTACATCATACATTGAAGTAAATACAGTAACGCAAAAAACAGATATTGATAAAAAAGTGTACAAAAGAAATCCGTAAGTACGCCTGGCAACATTACCAAAGTCTTGTTTATATGTTGCTAGGATACGCTTAGGTATGCGGGCCGCTGTATTTGATTCTTCCTAAAATTCTGCTGGTGGTGTACTCTACCGGCAATTCGGAAATTTAAAACTGCTGGCCTATTCCAGTAGCGGTCTGTGGCGATAGCTATTTTGTCTGTGCTGCAGGTGTGTCCATACAGTTAATAATTACATAATCTTTTATCCATTGGTTTTATACATTACGCTATCAGATAATTCAAAGTAAGGGCTAACGCTTGATTTTTGCGATTTACACTTTTAGATCTAACGAATTACTCATTTCCAATTTCAATATTTATTACGTTTATTACTTTTATTACCTTATTATGATAACTTCAGCAACAAACTGCCACTTTTTGTGATACGCTTTATCAGTTCTGAGGGCCTTGATTGCACTGCCACCTGACTGCAGACGGTCTAACTTCTCCTAAAACTGTGGGCAATGTCAATGGGATATTCAGTAAATTTTCACATACAAAAGTATTGCTCATGATTAGGCGATCCTGAAAATTTAAACTCAATCCGTTGAGTGGTTTTCAATCTATGTGGTTTTTAAAATGCGAATATTTGTCTCAGTCATGGCAATGCAATGACGTCACCGCATGGGACGGTCAGCCGGCTTGGCGCGCATCGTAGGAGGCGCTCGTACGCTACTTCCAGAAGTTCCAGATGAGTTTCTGCATCTTTAGGCTATAGAAACGTTGTAGTACCTACCACATAGATGTTTTAACGTTTGTGCATATTAAATTTAAAAAATGGAAGCAAACTTCGTAAAAGCAGATTCTTCTAATTTGCCAGAAGTAGTAGTATAAACCATGACTTTATCAGTGCTGAGATGAGAGGAGTGAAAATGCAAAGATACGTTTTAATAACTTGTAAAGCTTCTATAAAGTACGTTTTTAGCGAAAGTTTTGATGTTTTTGTACAAGAAGAATAGTAAATAAAAATAAGGATTTTACGTTTAATTGGACGAAACCGTTTCTGTCACAGGTTTCAAAGATTTGCCTAATCAAATGCAAAAATCTGATTACTATTTTTATTCCCATTGAAACTACATAAATCTACCTAATATATATTACAGGGTGGCCAAATAAAAACGAAACAGAGCCATTTTCAGGAACTGCGTCAAGATTGTAGAAAAACGCACAAACTCGTCAATTTTAGATTAAAGGGGGACATTCTTTGCTGGTATTTTTGACTCCGCCATTTTCACCCCCAAGCAAGGACAAGCATTATCCCAAAATATTTAAGTGGCATTGGGGGTTGAGTAATATTTCTTTTGAAAGCTCTTACAATTCTCTTTACAACAGACTTTAAATTTTATAATTCCGCCCAATATTTATTAAGAATTTTGATTTTAAAATTGAAACTTATGTACAAACAATTAGTAACGGTAAAAATGTCAGTCATTCGAGTTAAGTACGCCAATGGTATAAATTTAGTATTTCTAGCGTTACATTGGTTTTTGGCGATTTGTTATCACTTTCGTAAAAAAAAA